ACACACACACATTTTTTTAAAGCAATGATAAGGGGAGCTCTGGTGGCCTAGTGGCAAGGAGCTGCAACTACAATCCCAGAGCTGCGCGGTTCGAATCCACCAGATGCTCTGCCGGGGAAGGAGGGACAATCTCCTCCTGTACCAGTCAGATCTGATTTGATGGTACATGCACACAAAAATAAAAAAAAAAAAATTTTTAAAAAAGCAATGATGTAGAGAGAGTGGTAACCAAATAACATGACTGGGGGAGGGAATTATTTTTCACTCTGTTTGTGAGAGAATCTGATAATTCAGTGGACGGTCTCATATAACATCGTGGCATAGGAAAGGGGAGGAAGATGTTTCTTGAGATGTCATGATATAAAACTGCCCAATAGAAGAGGAGTATGTGGAACAATTTCTAAGGTGCCTCTAGAGATAGCATGACAACATTGGATGCTTTTTATATTTCAGGAGAAGGATCAAACCCTGGGAATTTACAGTCTTCTTCGACCCTAGAGAACTCCGTAAAGAGACCTGTCTGTTCTATGAAATCAGGTGGGGTATGAGCCACAGAATCTGGCGAAACACAGGCGCAAACACAACCAAACATGTTGAAGTCAATTTTATTGAAAAATTTACCTCTGAGAGAAAGTTCTGCCCATCCATCAGCTGCGTCATCACCTGGTTCATGTCCTGGAGCCCGTGTTGGGAGTGCTGCAAAGTTATTAGAGAATTTTTAAACCAACACCCCAATGTGACTCTGGTTATTTATGTAGCTCGGCTTTTTCACCATATGGATCAGCAAAACCGACAAGGACTCAGGGACCTTATTATCAGTGGTGTAACTATCCAGATTATGGGATTTTCAGGTAAAAGCATTAAAGGGTCTAATTTCTTTTTAAGGCTGTAATGGGAGCGCACTGAAAGCTAAGCATGAATTAGGCTGCTAACCAAAAAGTCAGCAGTTCAAACCCACCTTCCCTATGAGAAAAAGCAAACCAATCTGCTCCTATAAGGATTTATGACTTAGAAAACTCTAAGGAGCAGTTTCATTCTGTCCTATAGTGTTGCTGTGAGTCCGCACTGACCTAACTACAACAATAAGTTTGATTTTAGTGGTACTATTTCTAAATTAAAAGATAGGCTATCCCAGACTATAAGTGAAAATCCAAACCAATATGACAGACGACCAGACGACCAGGTCTGCAATAATTCATGGCAAGGAAAGTATCAAAAGTAAGATTCCTGCCTCTAATCTTGTCTCTACCATCTGTCTTTAAGTCTTTAAAAAGTGGATTTGCACCATTGACTTTCTGGTCAGTTGTTGAGCTTTTAATCATTGTGCCACCAGGGTTCTTTTCAAATAAACTACTTGGTTCTTTTTAGGGATTCTGGGGAAGCCTCGCCCATCTCCAGCAGTGACTAGTCCAGGGGGTGGTATTTGTGGTATTTTTTAAGTGGGAGCTCTTTTAAAGTAACTTGTGGTTGTACAGTATTTGTTGAGTGAACAAAGATTTGTGTTTCCTTAGAGTATGAACACTGCTGGAGGAATTTTGTAGATTACCCACCTGGGGAAGAAGCTACCTGGCCAAGATATCCTCCTCTGTGGCTGAGGCTGTATGCACTGGAACTCCACTGTATCATTCTAGTGAGTTACTCTAAGAGACAAAGATTCTGATGCAAATGGCACAGTCTTCAGACTTTCTTCCTAAGAGTTTTGATACTCTATTTCTTTGTATTGAAATTTTATTATTTTACCTAGTTGACTTTTTTTTTACTTCTTTTCTTTAGGGAGCTTCTAAATAATATTGATATTTATTACATTCACAGACATTTTGTTTTATAATACATTTTTTAATGCAGTTAATCACATTTTCATCACATATAGCACAGTACTTTGTTAACCCAAAGGCAAGCAGTTCACTACCAGTCACTCCATATGAAAAAGATGGTCAGTCTCTTCCTGTGTGGTTTACAACCTCTGAAAACCCACTGGAGGCTCAGCTATGAGAGGGTTCCAACCCTATGCCACATGATATCAATACTCCATTGTATGTATGAATGTATCACAGTTTCTTTAGCCATGTGTTTGTTTCTGTTGGAAACTTGGGTTGTTTCCATCTCTTTGTTATTATAAATAGTGCTGCAACGTACATGAATATAAATACATCAGTTTGGGCTGTAGCTCTTATTTTTGTAAGATATATATCTGGTGAAAAACAATGTAATTCATCATATTAGCAAATCAAAGAACAAGAACCATATGATCCTATCAATTGATGAAGAAAAGGCCTTTGACAAAATCCAAAATCCTTTCCTGATTAAAACATTCAACAAAATGGGATTAGAGGGGAATTTCTTCAACATAGTAAAAAGTATATATGCAAATCCTAGGGCCAACATTGTTCTCAATGGAGAGGGATTAAAGGCATTCCCTTTAAGATCAGAAACTAGGTAAGGATGCCCACTATCACCTCTCTTATTCAGTATTGTATTGGAAGTCTTAGTGATAGCAATAAGACAAGAGAAGGAAATAAGAGGTGTCCCAATACCAGTCCCATTCTTCAACAAGATGGAAAAGGCAATCTCCAGTTTCCTTGGGAATGGAAAGAGGCCCCAAATAAGCAAAGCACTCCTGAAAAAAGAGAAACAAGGTAGGGGGCATCTTACTCCCTGATTTCAAATCCTACTACACTGCCATGGTGGTCAAGGCAGTGTGGTACTGGTACAATGACAGACACATAGATCAATGCAATAGAATTGAGAATCCAAAAATAAGCCCATCTACCTATGATCAAATTATTTTTGACAAGGAGATGAAATCAGTTAAGTGGGGAACCACAGCCTTTTAAACAAAGTGTTGGCAAAATTGGAAAACTATCTGTAGAAAACTCAAGCAAGATCCACACCTCACTCCATACACTATATGCAACTCAAAATGGATCATGGACCTAGGTCTAATACCAAGGAATATAAAGTTCATTAAAGAAAACCTTGGAAGAACTCTAGAAGTCCTAATCCACAACATAAACAGCCTTCCAAGCATCCTGACAGATCTACAACCAGGAGAGGATAAAATACATGAATGAGACCTTTCCCCCCCCCCCCCCAAGAATCAAATCCTTATGCACATTCAAAACCTTCTCCAACAGGCTAAAAAAGGAAGCCACAGGTTGAGAAAAAATATTTTCTAATGACATGTCTGACAAGGGATTTCTTTCTAGAATTTATAAAATACTTGAGCACCACAACAAGATAAAGGTAAATAACCCAATTGAAAATGTGCACAGGATATGAGCAGATACTTCACCAAAGAAGACATTCAGATAGTGAACAAACACTTGAAGAAATGTTCAAAATCCCTAGCTCTAAGAGAGATGCAAGTCAAAACAATTACGTGATATACTCTCACCCCTGTAAGAATAGCAAAATTTAACAGAAGAGCAAACATCAAATGCTGGGGAAATTGTGGAGAAGCTGGAACACTTATTCACTGCTGGTGGGAGTGTAAAATGGTGCAACCACTATGGAAAACTGTTTGGCGCTTTTTCAGAAAGTTGCAAATTATATCATTTGACCCAGCAATTCCACTACTGGGAATATACTCCAAAGACACCATAACCACCACACAAGCAGATATATGCACACCTATGTTTATCGTGGCTTTGTTCACAATAGCAAAGAAATGAAAACAACCCAAGTGTCCATCAACAAACAAATGGATAGAGAAACTCTGCTGTATTCTAACAATGGCATACTATGCTGCATTGAAAAACAAGGAACTTATGAAATAGTATACAAAATGGGTGATCCTGGAGAACATTATGCTGAGTGAAATATCTCAGTCGACGAATACTGAAAAGTGTCATTTTTGTAAAACAGGACTGACATTGGAGTTAGGGGGAGACTGAGAGAGATGGGATAAATTATGTATACTGCTTTGAAACAGATGAGGGAGAGAACTGTTTAAAAGGGATATATGATTAGGTATTGTCATGACAGGAGTCCAGAAAGTAGGCTGCATAGTGGAGTGGACTTGGGGGGAGGGATTGTATAACAATGAAAGAATTTTTCTCTTACTTTTCAAAGAGAAGAGCAAACTGGGTGGGTGGAGAGGTTGGGCAGGGAGAAATCCAATGTCTCTGTAAACTTTCATGAAAAGTAATAATTTTAAAAAGGTATATATCTGTTAACAGGATTACTGAATCAAATGGTATTTCTAATCCAACTTTCTAAGAAAGTATCAAACTGCTTTCCATAGTGTTTGTACCATTTTCCATTCTCATTAGCAGTATATGAGAGCTCTAATCTCGCCATGCCCTCACCAGCAATTGTTGTTCAATGTCTTGTTGAGCATTGCTCTTTTCCCTGGGATGAGGTGATGATATCACATTGTTAGTTTGGTTTGCATCTCTCTGATAGCTGATAATCTTGAGCATTTCTTCATGTTTGTTGGCCATCTTTTATAAAATACTTATTCATATTCTCTGCCTATTTTACAGTTGGTTTGTTTGCTTTTTTATTTTCTACACATTTTAGAGATAAATTCATTGTTGGATATGTCATCACCAAATATTTTTTCCCACTCTGTGGGTTCTCTTTTCACCCTTTTGGAGAAGTCTTTTGGTGCACATAAGGATTGCCTTCTCAGGAGGTTCCAATTATCTAATTTAACTTCTGTTGATTACACATTTTCATTCTACTTGTTAGTCTATTTATGTCATTGATTAGTGATCACAGGTTTGCCTGAGTTTTTAATTTTTTTGTACTTGTTTGTTTCCCTTTTTTTAAAATTTATTATTAATTTCAATGAAAATTTACAGAGACTTTGGATTTCCATTCATTCACTGTTGCACTGTTCTCCCCTCCCAACCCTCCCCCCTAGTACACTACCCTCTTTGAAAAGTAAAAGAAAAATTCTTTCATTGTTTTACAAACCCTCCCCCAGGTCCACTCCACTATACAGCCTTTGCTCTGGACTCCTGTCATGATAAACATACCTAATCACATATCACTTTTAAACATTTTTCTTCCTCATCTGTTTCAATGCAGTATACATTATTGAACCCATCTTTCTCTCTCACCCCAACCCCGCTGTCAGCCCTGTTTTACAACAGTGGCACCATGCAGTATTTGTCCTTTTGTGACTGAGATA